AAATATGTTCATGTCGACAAGAATTACCTTGCCAAGAATACTTGACACTATTGATGTTATTGATACAACATACCAAAAAACATTTTTACCATTCTATCCACTCATACCAAAACACAACAAAACGAAAGATTTAGTCAAATTTACTAAAACCAAGGGAGAAAACTTTTCAAGAAAATTTAGTCAAATTAAAAAAGATCAAATATTACATAAGTCAAACATTAAACACTTTAATTAGAAGTCTTCTTGGAAGGTTTTTAAATAATCTTCACACTTCTCGGAAGATTTATTAGAAGAGTCATTGGAAGACTTTACATAAATTAAAATAAAATTCGAAAACATTCATTTTCGAAAAAAATAGCATTTTGTGAATAACCCAAAAATTCTTGAATAAATATGGCAAATAAAAAGTTCTAGGGTTAGCTATGCGTTAGAGGTATACATTGAGTCATATTTACAAAAAAACAATTAATGTAAAATTATAATTTCTATGTTATATATTTTATTAGTAAATATTAATAATATTTTGACAAGAAAAGGTAACAAATTAAAATATTTTCGTAGTATTTATGTAAAAACTTAATGTTTTGAGTGGACAGAGTAATATTTGGAGATAAATATAGGCGTCTTGATCGAAATTTGAATAGGAATGTTAATGATGATTAGAAAATATTCGTTCACCGTCGAGTCGTTTTCATCTGATCGCTCATCACTCAGTTATCAATTTGAGATTTTGAGCCGTTTGTTTCCGTATTGATTCAAACGTTCTTTTTTTTTTTGTAACTGGTAACAGACGAAAATCAATATTTGATGAAGAAGAAAATAAGTGTGTATCATTCAAAAAAGAAAATAAGTGTGTAGTATAGTAGTAGAAGGTGAAATAGCTTAAGTCGACAAAGAAACAAAACATGAGTGGGACTTTTTCTTTTTTTTTGGGCAACAAAAGATGAGTGGGACATGAAGACATCATGTCGTTTTTTAACTTGTAAAATGACGTCCACTCTTAGAGCATGTGCAATGGGGAATCCTTAGGGGAGTCCTTAGGAAAAAATAAAAAAGGGTATTCTAGATTATATAAGGATATTTCAGATTTTTTCTTTAAAAAAAATTAAACTGACCACTCACGGACCGCCACGTGTGCAGTGGAGCCCATGAATAGTGTAAGGATCAATCCTTACATAAGGATTTTTAGACTAAAATCCTTAACTATTCATGGGACCCAGTGATTATAAAATTAATATTTTTCTAAGGACTCCCCCTAAGGATTCTCCATTGCACATGGTCTTATTTCGAAGTAGGTAGGGTTATTTGCCACTTTCCAACGTGTTAAACCGTGGTAAAACAAGGGTATGCCCGGTTCAAACGTAATGGTTGCGGGAGTTTACGGATGCAGATGATTACAGTTTCTTATAATTTTAAGAGATTTATACAATTGATACTGCGATTATAAATTGGTGCGCTTGGGGATATTTATGATTGGTTAACTACTATATGCAGTAGCGGTTAAAATATAAATTAACAATATTTACATTTTGATAGTTATAAAAAATACCAAAATGATAATATTATAATAATAGAAAAATTATACTTATAAATTTATAGTTTTAAATTTTTACAATTACTGAAAATATTTTTTTTATTTTTTTAATAATATTAATTAAAATATAATAGATATATTTTAGTATTTTTGTAATTTCAGTTTAAAAATTTATTGAATATTTTTATTTTTTTCTTTATATTACTTTTTTTTTAAAAAAAATTACCATTCCACAATCTTCCGCAATCGCAAACGCTATTTGAAATCAGCTTTTAAATTTAAAAGGTATAAAATGATTTAAAACGGTTCAGAACGATTTAAATAATTATTGCAAAACACGAATAAGCATAAAAACTCTGTTTGCGGGTGATAGCAAAGAAACACGTCTTCTTTGACTGATTCATTTTTGTTGTATCAACTGTCCTGAGAAATGTAAATTAGTAAATGATTGAGCCTACATATACCAGTTCTGTTTCTTTCTTCTCACAAGAAGGGCCAAATATTATTAATCCATAATATAGTTTATCATATAGTTGGCAAATTAAAAATAATCAGTGAAACTTCAGAACTAATTCAATTATTCTTCATGACCCAAAACCTCTCAATTTCTTCTGCCGTTCTTCCGGGGATCCTTCCAGCTATCAAATCCCACCTATAAACAAACATAGCCTATTTAATTATGGGAATTCGACAAAAAAAAGCACGAACTTTGCACGAATTGTCAAAAAAAACATAAACTCTTAGACTGGCCAAAAAAAACACAAAACTTTCATTGACTTTAAAATTAAATAACAAAGTTTTCATTGACTTGCCAATTTAGTATGCCGTCAACAAATTTAACAGAAAAAATTGATGTGTCGTTAAGTGAAACGACGTCGTTTTCAATTGAGATGAAACGACGTCGTTTTACATGAATTTAAAAATAAAATCATGTACTCCCACGAATTCGAACCCAAGACGATTGGGTCAAATGGCAAGGCATTTTACCACTGGACTACTCGCACTTTCAATGTAATTAGTAACACATTTAATTTTATTTGGTACTGATTACATATAAAAATTGTCTAATAACTTAAAAAGATCTTTAAAATTCCAAAAAACAAAAAAAATAAAGAATTTTTATAAAACTAATTTTGAAATTAAATTAAAAATAAAATTTTATTTTTTCTTTAAAAATTCAAAAATCTTCCAAAATATTCATTTTTAAAAACAATTGCTAAAAACTGAAATTACTTATAAACACAAAAAACCCACATATTAAAATTAAATTAAAATGCTTAAAATAAATATTGTACCCACTATGAGTGTGATTTTAATTTTGTCTAAAAACTTAAAAAGATCTTTAAAATTCCAAAAAGTTGAAGAAATAAAGATTTTTTATAAATTAATTTTGAAAGTAAAATAAAAATTAAATTTTATTTTTTCTTTTAAAAAATCAAAAGTCTTCAAATTTTTTTTTTTTTTTTGCAAAATTCAAAAAAAATTAAAAATTCCAAAAAAATAAACATTCAAAGAAAATGCAAAAAAAATAAGTTAAAATTATTACATAAAAATTAAAATCACACTCATAATGGGTACAATATTTATTTTAAGCATTTTAATTTAATTTTAATATGTGGGTATTTTTTGTGTTTATAATTAATTTCAGTTTTTAGCATTTGTTTTCAAAAATGAATATTTTGGAAGACTTTTGACCTTTCAAAGAAAAATAAAAATTTTAGTTTTATTTTAATTTCAAAATTAATTTATGAAAAAATCTTTATTTCTTCAACTTTTTGGAATTTTACAGATATTTTTTAAGTTTTTAGACAATTTTTGATATTCAATCAGTACCATATAAAATTAAATGTGTTAGTAATTACATTGAATGTGCTACTAGCCTAGTGGTAAAACGCCTTGCCATTTGACTCAATCAACCCGGGTTCAAATCCTCGGTTCTACATGTTTATATTTTCAAACTCATGTAAAACGACGTCGTTTCATCTCATTTAAAACGACGTCGTTTCACTTAACGGCAACACTTAACGTTGTATTTAACGCTGTGTTGATATGGCCAGTCAATATTAAGTTGCTTAATAAACCAAAAAAAAGTCAACAAAAGTGCAGATTTTTTTTTGGCAAGGCTCGAGTACATGTTTTTTTTGGCAATTCATGCAAAGTTCGTGATTTTGTTGGTCGAATTCCCATTTAATCATTAGTTCTCCCTCTATTTTAGATTTGTTCTCCATTTTCCAAAAGTGTCAATTAAACATATTTTACACAAAAAAAGTGATAAAATATATTCATATATCTTTATTTATTAGACAATAATTTAAATGAAAATAATTTAACTAAACATTTATTGATTATTTTAAAAATAAAAAATAGATTTAATATATAAATTTATGTTGAAAATATAGAATGACACTTATTATGAAAAAAAAAGTTAAAATAACATTCTTTATTAAACAGAGAAAGTAATAATATTTATATAGTATAAGTTGTTTTGTATCCCCAGACCCCAGTGCTGTCCCATAATTTTTTGTGGTTTCAAGCTAATAAAATAGTGTGGCCTTAATTACATTGAAGTAAGATCATTTAACTTTAAACATTATTTTAGTTATTAATTAATAAACCTACAGTTAAATACTTTTGTTAACCACCCAAATTACAGTTTTGATATCTATAATTATTACTTTAATAATAATTATGCCTTGATTTTTTGTAGTTTCCCAACTAAACAAATGAAAAAAATATAATATATATATTAAAGATATTATATCAAGGAATATATAAGTATGATACAGAATTTTTAAAAATGTTTCAAGTGATAAATACATGTAATTTACTTCTTTTCAAAGAAATATACCAATTTGACAACATAAAAGGATAAATTGTTAAGAAAATTCTCTTTTCAAACAAAGAAAAATGGTATAGAATATTAAATATGAATTTTATAGCTAAGATGGAAATATATATATATTTATATATATGATAAAAGCTAGCTGAAAACAAAAGAATATTAACAATTGAATTAAAACAATTTTTTTTTTTTTTTGTGCACGAATTAAAACAATCAAAACTCTATCTATTGTATATTCAAGAGACCACACATGAATGATTATTTAGTGTCATTACACTAAAAGGTATTAAAAATGTGACCTAAATCTAATGCTTCATGTTCTTCAAAGAAGGGCTGGGCATATGTATTCCTGTACAGGTTTTATCTTGTTTTTTTTTTGAGAAAGGGCTTAAGTTTTATCTTCATTGAGTATTGTATAATTCATTAAAAATTTCGGATTTTTTATAACTAGTTAATTATATTTCGAATATATATTAATCACATTTCTGAAAATAATAATTTTCTTTATATCTCTTTTAGCTAAAATAACTTATATAGCGAAATAGAGGAAATATAGTTTTATCTTCTACGACATAATTAGGTTGGTTGTAGTTAATAATTAAGTTATAATTTAAATGAACAAACCTGTCACCGACAAGCTTATGCATTCTACAGACCAAATCTTCTTCTTCTTGATTCATGTTCACAGCTTGCCACTCAAGACTACTCACTTCTGTTCCATGTCAAGCATTCACATTTTTAAACTATAAAATGTGTTTTTGTTTGTTTGTTTGTAAACATGGATAAGTTAAAACGATCTTTTCATCAGCTTACCTTCGGATGAAGAAGTAAGAATAGGGTTATTCTTAATTTGCTTCGTCCTGAGATGCTTATCCATATGAGAGGACGCCGTTTTAACGATATGAGTATGGGAAGATAGAGAAGAAGTAAAAGAGAGAGAATGGTCTTTCTTTTCAGAGAGAGCAACCAACCCTCCTATCTATTTATAGCAAATGAATTAAGTATTCAACGAGTTTGGTCGGTCTCTATGTAAAGGAATCTTAATTTACTAAGCTGATTTTCATTGATTAAATAATCATTGTTAGCATCTTGCAAAGAGTAAAATCGTATCTACCTGTGCCATCATTTACTCGGTTGTGATTCTCTTGAATATAAGTTTAAAACTGATTATATTCCTGCTGTTAACTAATTAAGATCATTAAAAAGATCATTATATAGTAACTGTTGGTTATTTTGATTGTAAACCGAAAACTTGTGAATAAATACTTGGATAATGATTGAATCACCATGTTTTTCTTAAAGAGTATTTCGATTATATTCTAAGTCTTAGATTACATAAAATCCCTTTATAGGATAACACAATCAAAATTTCACTCTTGTTCAAAATGATACAGAAAAAAAGCAAAAAGAGTTTTAGTGCTTATATGTGTTTCTTTAAAGTCTTTGATAATCTTTGAACAATAAATTTATTTATCTCTTAAGCTATTACTAACTATTACTTTCTGATATTTTTCTATCTAATTTGCCAATGCCTACATTTCTTTATATAGAGAGTGAAGAGTGGCAATCAAGAGTTAAAACCAAAAATTGCAATGGTTAACAATAATAGTTACAATGGTTAATGAAGGAGTCACAATGATTAATCACCAAAGGCTAATCATTAATATGATTAATTACCAAATGTTGCAATTATTAATATGGTTATCACTAAAAGTTACAATCATCAATATAGTCATTACCAAAAGTTGCAATCATCAATGGTTGCAATGTTCTATTTTATAGTTGCAAAACAATTGCAGTGGTTCCTTTCACCCATTCACTTAAATATATAACAATCCTCCCCTATTTAAGCATAATCATAGATTCATTAAATAAATAATACATATATCAAACTCATGCATAAATGAAAATTATTGAAGAGTTGTGCCCTATAATCACGTGAGAGGACCCGAGTACAACTCCAATTAAGTGCAAAAACAATTTTCATCAAAAAAAAAAAATATTCGAAGAGTTGAATTTTCATCTAATGTATTACACAATCTAAATGCCCGAGAATCAGGATGTCCTACAGACTAAATCTCTCTACCCATTTTGAACACATGAAGATAACACGCACGTGTTTCCACACTACTCTAAGTGTTATACTTGACACTATTATAAGTCATGTGTCCATATCCATTCATGAGCGCATACAAGGCCAAGTCCCAACTTATTGAAGTGGCATCACTTCACACTCATATAGGTAAATACTTCAAGTCATGCACCTGTAAATGCATTTTTTCAAAGTATTTATAAGGAATTATATTTCAACCTAACTCTTCTTGCAGGTCTAAGCACATACCTTGGGATGAAAAAATGTGCTTCAATCTTTAAGTGTAGGCTTTCCACATTGAATTCAGCCTCTAACGTCGTATTAGAGGGGAATTGAGTATCCCACCATTACAGATTTCAAAAGGACTTTAAACCCATCCCTTTAACAGACTTAACCACTAAGCTATTTAATATTTTCGTCAAATGATCAGCTAAATTTTGTTGAGACCAAACAAAATAATCTCTTGTTATCACCCGAGAGTGATCAATTCACATACTGCACTATGTCTAACGCCTAGGTGTCTAGACTTACCATTATATACTTGGCTATAGACCTTAGACAAGGTAGCTTGACTATCACAATGGATAGAAATTGGTGATATTGGTTTCGGCCACAATGGAATCTTGTACACTAAGTTTCTTAGCCATTCTGCTTCTTTACTAGCAGCTGCTAATGCTACAAATTCCGACTTCATAGTCAAACTTGTAATGCATGTTTGCTTCTTGGAAGCTCACGAAATGGCACCTCACCCACGTAAAAACACCTCTATGTTGGTAATCCAATTTGCCCCTGAATATCCTTATAACACCAAAAGAAATCTGACATATGACAAACCATAATTAATGGTTCATTCCAAATACTTGAGCACCCTTTTTAAGGCTTGCCAATGTTGAGTACTAGAATCACTAGTGTATTTACTCAACCTTTCTACATTGTAAGCTATATCTGGCCTAATGCTCGTCATGGCATACATTAAGCAGCCAATCACTTGTGAATACTCGAGTTGTGATACTGCATGTCATGTATTAGGCATAAGTTCACACTCTCATCCATGGAATACTCATTGGAGAACAATTCTCATAATTGAACTTCTTAAAAAATTTCTCGATGTAATGAAATTGTCGCAAGGATAGTCTTTTGTTTTCACGTTTGATTCTAATTCTAAGAATCACATCCGTCTCCCCCATGTCTTTTATTGCAAAATTTAATGACAAAACTTCTTTTGTAAGCTCTACTTATTTAAGGTCAGTACCAAAGATCAACGTCATGTCATCAACATATAAGCAAAATATTACTCCATTATCAGATTTATCAAATTTGCTATATAAACACCTATCTGATTGGTTCAATTTGAAGCCACTTGATAAGACAACCTCATCAAAAAAAAAAAGACAACCTCATCAAACCTTTGATGCTACTGCTTAGGTGTTTCCTTTAACCCATACAATTACTTGATCCACTTACACACCTTATGCTCATTACAAGGCATAACAAAACCTTCAGGTTGCTTCATATACACCCTTCTTCCAAAATACCATTTGAGAACAATGTCTTAACATCCATTTGGTGAACCACATGGTTATTAATTGCTGTCAACGCTATTAATAATCTTATAGAAGAGATCCTAGCAACTGGAGTATATGTATCAAAAAAATCAATACCTTCCCTTTGTTTAAAGCCTTGAATAACCAATCGAGCTTTGAACTTGTTGATTGTTCCATCAACTTTCTTCTTTTTGAAGATCCATTTGCAGCCTAAAGGCTTGCAACCAGATGGGAGATCCGATAAGATTCAATTATTATTTCCTATCATGGAGTCCATCTCATCATTTATTTTTTCTTTCCAAAATGCAACATCTTGAGATTTCATAGCCTCACTTTAAGGTCTTGGATAATTATCAATATGATAACAATATGAGTGTTGGAGACCAATCACATCTCTTGATCTTTCAACTAAATATATTTGAAAATCAGGACCAAATGGTTTTTCAATCTTTCATTGCTTGCTCCTATGAAGCATATGTGACATGTTAGGAGACACAATAACTTTATCTCCTTTACTAGTTCCACTTGAACTTGGAACCAAAATCTTTGGTATATGTATAGATGAAAAACGAGTTTCATCAATTATTGCATCTCTTGTTTCAATTACAGTGTGAATTGCTATTGAATCATTAGATTTTATTACATAAAACCCATAAACCTTGGAATGCTTTACATATCCAATAAAAATGCAATCTATATCTCTCTCTCCTAAAGTTTTAATTTTGGGTTGGAGTAGTCTTACGTCAGTCTTACATCCCCAACCCGAAAATAGTTCAAGTTGTTTTTTTATACAAAATTTCATAAGGGGTAAGTTTGTTCCTTTTACTAGGAACTCCATTTGAAAAATAGTAAGCCATTAACATGGCTTCTCCCCAAAATTCGACAGTCAGTCTCGAGTAGGATAACATGGAGTTAACCATTTCTTTTAGGATTCTATTTTTCCTTAATCCGATACACCATTTTGTTGTGGTGTATATGGAGATGTAGTTTCATGTATAATGCCTACATACTGGAAATACCGAATCGTAATACTCTCCACCTCTATCATTGCATAATTTCTTAATTAAGCCATTTTGTTCCAATTCAACTTCAGTTTTATAAACCTTAAATCCATTTAGGGCATGTAATAAATACACATAACAGAAACTAGAATAATCATCTATGAATGTAACGTAATATTTCTTGTTTCCTAAAGATGATGTAGCATGCAAATCACATAGATCACTATCTATAAGTCCTAGCACTATGTAATTTCTTTCAATGCTTTTAAATGGTTGCCTAATTATTTTTGTTAACATGCAAGTACTACATTTTTCTAAATCTATATCAAAAGTAGGAATCAATCCTTCTTTAGACATATTAATCATACGATTATAATGAACATGACCTAATCTAGTATGCCATAGAGACTATCATTTTTCCTAGAATTTACCATACAAATACAACTTGTAACTTTTTTAACTTTATTAACATTAAACATAAACATTCCATTACAGAAATAACCAAATCCAACAAACACACCATATTTAGATAATATACTTATCAGATTCATGCACTTGTTTAAAACCACATTTATTTAAAACACTACCAGAGACTAAATTTTTTACTTATTCTGGGTACATAAAGTTCATCCTTGAGACCAAGGGCTTTTCCCCAACTAAACTCTAACACCACTCTTTCACGATCTAGGATATGGGTATTTGACTTGTTTCCCATATGAAGTACGGATCCATCTTGGACTTGCTCATATGTAATGAACCATTCACTATCTCTGCAAACATGTGTTGTTGCACCCAAGTCAATCCACCAGGCCACTACATCATCTTGCACATAAAATGCCTCATAAATCTTTGATACATAATTTACATTAGAATATGATATAAAATCAGAAATTGGACCTTGATGAGTGGATGGACCTTGGTCCTTAGACCCTTGTCCCAAACTGTCTTGTCCCGTTTTATTCTTTTCCTTCTCTGCTCGGCAATCACGACTTAAGTGATCCAGCTTGTTACAATTCTAACAAATGCTCTTAAAGTTTTTGTTAGATACATTGTAAGTGTTGTTATTAAAAGAGTGTTTCCTCGTATTTTTCTTCTTAGAACTCACACCTTGCTCCGTCATATTGATGGCAGAAGAACCAGCCTCATTATTTTTAGGTTCTTCAGCGCTCATGTAGTCTATCACTCACACGTATATTTCCTGCAAAAGCTTTCCCTTCCTTCCCTTTCCCTTTGGGTATCAATGTCACTTGCACCAATGACTCATATTTCCCATCAAGGCTCTCTTCTTTGGCACCTATCGGACCA